TGCTGTCTTCCATACCTCAGGTAGATACCCAGTTTCAGTATGTTGAAAATTGTTGTTAGTGACACACACAGCATCTCTGCTCCCTCTCTAAGGGCCCATGGACAGATATCCGGTCCCACCGACTTTTAGGTATCTAGCTTGCTTAGCAACTTCTTCACTTCTTCCTCGGTTGTATGTACTGCGTCCAACACCTCTCCGTCTTGCTGGAGTGCCTTCTGTCTCCTCTGTGAGCACTTCTTTGAATCTCATGTTGAGCTCCTCACACACTTCTCGATAGTTTCTTGTGATCTCCCCTTCGTCCTTCCTCAGCCTGATTACCTGGTCCTTGACTGTTGTTTTCCTCCTGATGTGGCTGTACAACAGCTTCTGGTCAGATTTGGCTTTTGCTGCTATGTCATTCTCATTGTCATTGGGCCTTTCTTCCTACCCGTGCATATTCATTTCTGGCTTAATGACTGCTCTCCTTATGGTCCTGGGTCCTTTGCCTTCAATAATTTTTCCATTCTCTAGCACACTTGGTTTTGGCCTGTCTACATCTTTTTGTGAACAAAGGGCTCATCCTGGCTTTCTCGTTATTTCTGTTACCCTTGGGTACAAACCTCTCCTCACCTTTCTTGTATATTGTTGTCACATATTCCATCATCTCGTTTACTGACTTCCCTGCCAGTTTTCTGTCCCACTGAACCCCGTGCAGGAAATTCTTCATATCTGTGTAGGCCCCTCTCTTGTAGTTTGGCTTCATTTGTCCTGCCCTTCCTCTACTATGTATTCGAAGCTCAGAACCACGTGGTCACTTCCCCCGAGGGGCCTTTCATATGTGATGTCCTCAATATCTACACTACTCAAGGTGAATACTAGGTCCAGTCTTACTGGTTCATCCTCTCCTCTCTCTCTCTTGTAGTGTCCCTTACGCGTTGGTACATGAGGTTTTCCAGTACCACCTCCATCATCTTAACTCTCGACGTTTCTGAGCCCTCATGTGGCTCTAGGTTCTCCTAGTCGATTTCCTTTTGCTTGAGGTCATCCACAATCAGCAGCTTTGCCCTGCTCGCATGAGCCCTTCTGGCTACTTCAGCCAGTGTGTCAACCATCGCTCTATTACTCTCATCATACTCTTGCCTTGGCCTCGTGCTGTTCTGTGGTGGGTTATACATCACGGCAATTACCACCTTGGGGCCTCCAGACTGAAATGTTCCTGTTATGTACTCTCTTGCTTCTCCTCTGTTACCTCTTTCCAGCTCATCAAAATTCCATTGGTTTTTGATGAGCAGTGCCACTCCTCCACCCCCTCTGTTCCCTCTGTCTTTCCTCAGGATCTGATATCCCATTGGAAAGATGGCATATGTTATCATTCGTGTGAGCTTGGTTTCCGTGAGAGCTACGATGACCGGTGATGCCTCTTTGACTGTTTCGTGCCACTCCTCCCACTTACTCGTTATTCCATCGATGCTGGCGTGCCATACCTTCAGTTTCTTCTCCAACACTGTGTTCTATGGGGTCTGCGGGGGTGGGGAACCTGGAAGTGTGCTGTGGGTCTACAGCATGGGGGGTGGGGGCTGTAAGTGTAGATTGTGGGCCAAAAACCACTAAAGAGCCAAGAGCAGTAATTGTTGCTGTTACTTCCACCGGTGTGTGTGTGTGTGTGTGTGTGTGTGTGTGTGTGTGTGTGTGTGTGTGTGTGTAGGTGTGTAGAGGTGTTTATTGGAGGGAGGGAGAGGGATAGAGAGTGGGAGGGGGAGACAGTGGCAGAGGGAAAAAGAGATGGGAGGAAGAATAGGGGGGTAAGGGGAAAGAGGGGATAAGGAAGAGAGGGAAATGCAAAGGGGGGAGAGGGGGAGGGCATTTAGGGGGGGGAGAGGAGGGGGGAGAGGAGGGAGAAGAGGAGGAGGAGGAGGAGGTGGAGGAGGAGGAGGAGGAGGAGGAGGAGGAGGAGGAGGAGGTAGAGGAGAAGGAGGAGGAGGAAGAGGAAGAGGAAGAGGAGAGCGAGAAAGCAAGACGGAGAGTGAGAGAGTGGGAGAGTAGTAATTTGTGATGCATGGTGTGTTCGTGTGTGTATGTGTGTGTGTATGTGTACTCACCTAGTTGAGGTTGCAGGGGTCGAGTCCGTGCTCCTGGCCCCGCCTCTTCACTGGTCGCTACTAGGTCACTCTCCCTGAACCGTGAGCTTTATCATATCTCTGCTTAAAGCTATGTATGGATCCTGCCTCCACTACATCGCTTCCCAAACTATTCCACTTCCTGACTACTCTGTGGCTGAAGAAATACTTCCTAACATCCCTGTGATTCATCTGTGTCTTCAACTTCCAACTGTGTCCCCTTGTTACTGTGTCCAATCTCTGGAACATCCTGTCTTTGTCCACCTTGTCAATTCCTCTCAGTATTTTGTATGTCGTTATCATGTCCCCCCTATCTCTCCTGTCCTCCAGTGTCATCAGGTTCATTTCCCTTAACCTCTCCTCGTAGGACATACCTCTTAGCTCTGGGACTAGTCTTGTTGCAAACCTTTGCACTTTCTCTAGTTTCTTTACGTGCTTGGCTAGGTGTGGGTTCCAAACTGGTGCCGCATACTCCAATATGGGCCTAACGTACACGGTGTACAGAGTCCTGAACGATTTCTTATTAAGATGTCGGAATGCTGTTCTGAGGTTTGCTAGGCGCCCATATGCTGCAGCCGTTATTTGGTTGATGTGCGCTTCAGGAGTTGTGCCTGGTGTTATACTCACCCCAAGATCTTTTTCCTTGAGTGAGGTTTGTAGTCTCTGGCCCCCTAGACTGTACTCCGTCTGCGGTCTTCTTTGCCCTTCCCCAATCTTCATGTGTGTGTGTGTGTATGTGTGTGTGTGTGTGTGTGTGTGTGTGTGTGTGTGTGTGTGTGTAGGTGTGTAGAGGTGTTTGTTGGAGGGAGGGAGGGAGAGGGGGAGGGAGATTGGGAGTGGGAAGGGAAGACAGTGGCAGAAGGGAACAGAGATGGGAGAAGGATAGGGGAGTAAGGGGAGAGAGGGGGGAAAGGAAGAGAGGGAAAGCCAAAGGGGAGAGAGAGAGAGAGAGAGAGAGAAGGGGAGAGGGAAAAATAGGGATAAGAGGAGGGGGGGGGAGGAGGAGCAGGAGTTGGAAGAGGAAGAGAGTGAGAGAGTTTTAGAGACAGTAAGAGTGAGAGAGAGTGAGACTGAGTGTGTGTGTGTGTATTATGTGTGTGTATGTGTGTACACATGTGTGTGTTATACATTGTGTGTGTATGTGTAGTATGTGTAAGTGTACATATATGGGGAGGGGGGTTGCGTGAGTGTAGTTCGAGGGTGGCTTCTGTTTATTTAGGCTGCTAATGGTTAGGAGAATTTGTGTGCATGTGCGCATGCATGCTCGTGTGTGTGTGTGTGTGTGTGTGTGTGTGTGTGTGTGTGTGTGTGTGTGTGTGTGTGTGTGTGTGTGTGTGTGTGTGTGTGTGTGTGTGTGCACTTTGCGTGTACACACTGTCTTTGCATGCCTTAAATTACTCTGTCAGTTTCAGAAACCTTTTTGTCGTGCTTTTTAATTGTCCTCGGTCACTATCTTTTAATACTAACTCCCTATGTTAGCAGCTATGTTAGCATATATGTTTGTTTACTGGCAGATTCGTCTGATCTTAGTGCCTGTGCGAGTGTGTAGGCCTAGCATGTGACGACCCACACTTTCCTACCCAGTTGGGGGTAGCTGGGGGTTTATGACCCCCAGCTACCAGTGATGCAGGATTAAATGCTAAGCACACAACATGCAACTACAAAAAGGTGATTTGTTCGTTACATCTGCCAGAGATGTCGTCTGGGATCCTGGCTCTGTTGTTGCATGATAATTCTCACTGTGGTACCACTCCTGACGCCCTGGTTCCCCTTCAGGTTTTTTTCTTTATATTATATTCACATTAACCGTGCTTCAAATACTGCTCTAGGTTTTCACTATGCTATCAGTTGAACAATTTAAACCCTTTTTTGTACACGCTTTAGTCAGGAAAACACCAGAGCCCCAAGAATGTTGGATATTTTCCCTGTGATTTTTTCTTTTCTTTCCCCTCACTTTATAATCATTTTATTATTCATTAATTCATCTATCCTTATCTTTTATCTCTCTGGCTTGGGTCACACTTATTCTGTTTGAATTTGCAGTCATTGGCTTGTGGCAACACCACCTACACCTACACTAGGCCTTCTGCCTCTCTCTCCTGGCACTGATTCCACTTTAAAATTGTTTTGTATAAAACGTAGTCCTTACCTCCCTTTTCTGATTTAGAGTAGCTTGGATTTAACCTCTCGGGTTGTTCACTAACACTGACAGCTTTCGGTGATCCCTGTAATGACCTTGGTGGGCCAAAAATCATTAAAAATTCAGGAGCACTGTATGATGCTGTTATTCCCGCCGATGTGTGTGTGTGTGTGTTGTGTTGGGGTAAAAAAATGTACACACTCAACTATTTATACTCATCCACTTGTTCGTTAGCTCATCTGTGCTTATCTGTTTGGCTGTTAGTTCCTGGCCACGCCTGTTAACCGCATACATTTCTTGCCGCCTTGTGGGCCCTTAAAAACTGTGAATGGTGTTGCTACTGTCTCCATCTCATCTAAGTCATTCCGTTACTTTGCCACCTGAGTTCATCCTAATATTACTGTGATTCATTTTCTGTTTTTACTTTCAGTTGCTTTCTTTGTTCCTTTTAAATAGTGGGTTTCTGTCTACCCTCTCAAGTCTTTTGAGTTTCTTGAACGATGTTTCATATCTTCTCTGGCTGCTCTGACTTCAGTAATCATCGGGTTCAGTTCTTCGAGTTGCTCCTTGTTGTCAGTCAGGAAACACTTGTCATGTTTCCTGGCAAGCTTTTCCTAAGCTAACCTTGTCAGTCCTCTCGGTTCTGGGAACTTTTTTTTTTTTGTATGTGTGTGCTGTACAGAGCGTTGAGTAAAATTTTCTCTTGCCTTCTTCCTGCCGGGTGAGGCGCTGCTGACTCTTGTGTTCCTCTTCCCAACAGAGTGTCCTGCAGCAACAGGAGGTGCGCTTCTCGGCCGACGGGGACCTGTTGTCCAGCCTGCACGAGCAGCACTCTATGGCTGGCCAGGGTTCCATGACCAAGAAGCAAGGAGTCTCCGGGGAGTCTTGCTTCCAGAACAAGACCGCAGAAAAGATACACATCCAGAGGTTCGATAAGGACTTCAGGTGAGTACGCAAAATGTGTTGGTTGGTGCTGGCTGCCTGCTGGTGCTGGCTGCCTGCCTGCTGGTACTGGTTGCCTGCTGGTGTTGGCTGCCTGCTGGAGCTGGTCGCCTGTCTGCTGTTGTTGCTGATACAACCCGCTTGTGTTCCATTGACTTAAAGAGCGCAATAAATTTGCCTTAAGCCAGCAGATATTGGAAATGAGAAGACTAACCTATACCACCAGGCTTATGTTGACGAATAAGGAGGACTTGATGAAGGACGTAACGGTGCCAAAGACTGCAAGCTCAAACAACAACGACATAATCGAGGTTCACACATAAGTTTACACAGATTTGGAACAGCAAAAAACGATCAACCTCGAAGGGGAATTTCAGCCAATTTAACTTCAACCATAATAACATCAGCTGGGATCGAATAAGTTGTGATCTTACTGAATTATGTTAGGAAGATAATACGACTAACTTAGATCCGATCCAGTTCTTCAGGAGAAGCTCACTAACACGAATTAAGCTCTATGGCCCTACGGCATGGGAGAAGACGCAAATTAGAGAGAGACGCTCCCTCTATAGGCGAAGGCGAATGTGTATGGGACATACTGGTCAGATAAATAAAAAAATATCGAGCTCAAATTGTGTCAGAGTCCATGAGAGGCAGAGGATGTAAAGGGCATACTGAAATTTAAATAATTCACAATACTTATTCTCATATGCAAAATCCAGGGCAAAAACATCAAGAATCGGGCCCCTACTTAAAGGGAGATGGAACATACACTACTGATGATTAAGAAGTTTGTTAAATACTGAAGTCATAGTGCGACTCTGAGTCCAGGGAACCATTAATCAGTCTGAGAGTTTACGATGAAACTGAGTTTTTTCATGAGACTGTAAACCCTTTCGACAACTCCGCCACATCTAAACGCATCCTCAGCTCCACTTGACTTCGAAGCCACTGAGAGCATGTCCTTATACTAAGCCCCTGGCCCATACTCTTCGAACTCCATACTCATCAAAACTTGCAAGAAATCACTATCTCCAGGCTCCCCCTCCATCGTCTCCACATTCAGCCTGGACACAGTGTCATTCCAAAGTCATTTAAAACCACCAACATAGCTCCACTCCACAAAGGTGGCACAAAAGCAATCACAGAGAAAAGATACAGATCAGAAATGCTGAGATCAAACATTATCAAGATTTGAAAGGGTCTTAAAAAGTAAGATTTGTCATTTACATGGAATCACAGTTGTGTCACCCAGGGCAGCTTGGGTTTAGAATGGGTGACTCCAGCCTTTCAAAAATTACTTTTCGTTAATCTCAGGATCATTTATCAGAGTTTTCTTGTTTGCCAGAACCAAGTCAAGCAGGTTATTTCCTGGAATATTTATAGACAGTGGTTAGACCCCTACATTACCTATTAAACTGTTTCAGTCAATTTGGGTTAAGTTAAAACCTTCTATTAAAACTATATTTTCGTATATAGATGACTTAGCAATTTCGTCCCTCTGAAATTTAATCGGGTCACTTTCTAGGTTCAAGGGCCTGTAGATCACACCTAATGGAAGCTTTTCATGCCTTTTGAGAACCTCTCATAGTGCATTCCTCTGGCTTCTGGTACTATCCTGCTTCCAAACCTTTAAACACTTACATCGTTTGTGATGGAAAGTTTAATTTTTTTCCTAACATACATGGCAACTCTTCTCCCTTTCCTGTTGACTCTGTCAGTGTACAATAATTTATACCCCAGTATGTGGCATTCAGCAGGAATGTTCTTGTCTTTCAGATTGAGCCAAGTCACGATTTTTGCAATTAATATCTCTATTTCCTCCACATGCAATTAATCTCTGCTTGTCTGTCTTATTTCTTGCGCTCCACTTATTTGTATAGTAGATGCTAAGAAAAAAATTGCCTTGCTTCTCTCCTCTATCTCCTTATTTTAACTAGTAAGTATTTTGTTTGTTTGTTGAACATTTTTCTAATATATCTTGACAATGTTTTGCTTCATCTGTCCCTAGTACCGCAACTCCTTTGTATCCTAAACACTTTAGCAACGGTTCCTTTGACCAAATTATCTAACACTACCAACCTCAACCCAGAAAGATGCACTCCATCCCTTGCATACATATCATGTTTGCCATAGAAATTATCCAGTTGTCAGTGAACAGACTTTCAATTTCCCTGAAGTACTTGTCTAACTAACAGTTTACACCAATTACCCTAGACATCCATGAGCTGCCAACTTGTAGGTAAAATGCAACATGTGATCGAGATCCCTTTCCCTTGACCTGATTAGATCAATACCTGACTTGTGTTTGTTTATCAACTTTTCTGCTTTGCAAAGCATCATTGCCTCCAGTACAGAGGCAGATAATAAGGGTGTCCCCATTAACATAACATGATATTATCTGAACGTCAGCTGCTTCATAACTTGTTACAGAATGTTTGATCCATATATCTATTTTGAGATTCTGACAAAAAGTATTCCTTTCTTTCACATTTTCATTGAAAGTACAATAAAATATAAGCAAAAGATGAGAATAAATTTAAATTGAGTAAAGAAACAAGCAAGGACATCATGTTAATTTTTCTTATATGAATCTGACATTTACAAAAATTGTATATAAATTTTTTATATAAATTGAGGACTAAACTCGCCAAAAGCGGATAAACTATAATTACTTATGAGTAAACAAGTTTTTTGCAGGACCACTGTCAATTAATCAAATTGTTTTATATGCAAGTTCTCTAAATTCTTACATCCAGAGAATTCTATGCATTTATTATAATTCTAAAATCATCTGAACTCGATATATGATTGTTAGGTTCAAAATGAACTCTTGATAGCTGACTGAGGTGGTTTATCCAGAGGGGTGAGGTTCCTATATAATGAACCCCAATTTTCAGAAATATATTTCTGGCATATGTAACTGATAAACTACATTAGAACATAAGATTCTTGAACCTGAAATTACTACCAAGAGTAAGTGGGTTCCCAAAAAATAAATTATGTTTGTAATGGTATAGAATATCTCTTCCTAAAATGTTCTTAATTACTATATGTTAGTGGCGGCAACCTAGATTCAAATAATTTCTTGTGAACTCTTGAGGAAAAGCGCCATGACAGGTGTTTTTCCCAGGGAAGATGGGGCATGATGGAGGTACAGGGTGAGAGTTAGGTGCATTCCGATTTCTCCAAGGGTCAGTCACCTACTTATGAAGATGGGACCACCACCGTCACCTGGGACTAGCTTCTCTGGAGAGCATGATCAGGGGTAGCTGGCATCAGGATGTAATTATGGTACGGGACTCTCTCCACATTAAACAATAAGGAATGTCGCCTAGGAGGATGGGGAGGGGAGCTTTGGGGATTCAGCCCCCAAAATCCCTTTAGTACCCAAAAACGCCCTAAATAAAAATAGTAATAATAACGCTGGTTCAAAACAATGTCTTGAAGTCTCTCTGGGACCCAGTCTGGTGTCAGAGCATTCAAGTTTGCCTCTGCATCTTCTGGCTATGGGAAAGTTCAGAAGCAGGTCAAAAAATAACTCGAAACACACTTAGAAGTGCCATTCCTCTGCCTCTAACCCAAACCCAAGGGTCCCTAAGAAGCTGCTGTTTAAAACTCAAAGGGATCTGGTTCCCTCGCTTCTGAAGTGACCTCTTCCTCTAAGAGAAGGACATACTACCCCATGCAGGTCCTGACACTTTCCAACTGGTTTGAGGTTTAGGATGATGATTTTTGGGGACAGGATGAATCTGCAGCTTCATGCCAGGCCACGAAAGTAAAATGAGGCGACTCTATTGTTTGTGTTTCTTCAGTGAACTTTATCGAGAAGGTGATTACCTGGACCTCTTTTGGCTTGACATATTAATCTTCTGCAATGAAGCTGTCAGATCATTAGGCTCCATATTGTACACTATTTATGTCCTCTTTTGTGTCAGTTGTGCCGCCTGAGCAGCTAGTTTATCTGGAAATCGATGCTCATCTTGTGAGCGGAAGCGTTAAAAATAGTATTAAGAGGTCAATGACCATTGTTACATCACTAGAAATAAATATTAGTCATTTCTCATTTTACAATCACTTCAATAGTAGTCGTGTATGCAGTACAGTATGGAATATGATTTAAAAAAATTATTACCACTAAAAGTAAAAAAAAAAAAATCGTAGGTCACAGTTGGGTTGCAATCTTTATAAAACTAGTACATTCACCTCTTGTCGTTGTTAAATGTGGATATAACCTGAAGATTTCAAATTTCATTAACAATGAGGCGTTTGTCATATCCTGTAAGGTTTACATGGAGGGGTCTCTGCAAGGTTGAAATGTTTGGATCCTGTCTGTCCACACACTTCGCATTTTATGTCATTGACATCTCCAAACAAACCGTACTGCCAGAGATGTTTATAGCTTAGCCTTAGTCTTGCAGTAACAACATCTCGCAGTCTACTAACCTTGTTACTTTCTCCTTATATATATGTTTGACCTGACATTTCTGTACTGTTCTAGTTTCTTTAAGCTCGTTTACTAATTCCTTTCTGACAGTGTTTCGTAAACTTCTGTCTGAAGAAAAAATTTACTCAACATTTTCTCTATTAATGCTTATTTATCAAATTCATCAACTTTGTCATCTTTTTGGAGGTCTATGTGAAATGGAATCCACAAAAGCTTAATTATCATCCCTTCAAAATTTGTGTCTATCTGTGCTTAGCTTCATATACAAGCATGCTACATTCAGGTCTCAGGCTATTTAGAGCAAGTAATGAGAAAATATAGTCAGATACAGTTAAACTGTGTGTGGTCGTAGTTCCCATAAGCACGAGAGCAACATGTATGACAAACAGCCCAGTTTGTAAGATGGAAGCTCAGTTCTCAATTCTAATACACCTCTGCATTATAGTACCATCAGTCTGATTTATAATAACAGCACTTCCCACCATCCCACTCTCAGTGTTAAAGGGAGCCATCAGCCTAGATAGTCTGCGTGATAGTATTCCTTGATCTAAGGCCG